GGTGAGTAACTATGAGTAACCAGCCCACATCAGCATGACATCAGCATCCTCTCTCTCCTGAAAAGTCTTTAATTTTCCACTCCTTAATCTTTGACGAACGATTTCTCACTCGTTTTAAGTCGAAATTTAATTTTTTTGCACAGTTAGATAAGATTAATTGTGCTCTTGAAAATGATATCCACTTTGATATATTTTCGAACAAAAAAAATTGTGTCATTTTTTACCAGTCTATACCATATGGTATTGACTGGTATTGAAATAAGAGCATACATATGGTTTGAATAGCGTATCATGGTGTATGACACAAACAAAAACTGTAGGATGGTTGAATACATGATAGTAGAAGTATATTAATTGTCATTTACGACTTTTAATATTTTATACCATAAGATACCACTCCGTACCAGGGTGGTATTGTATGGTATTGTGTGGTATTTTTTGGTTTTGTAATTTGTTCACCCAGAAATTTGTAGATCCAATAGATCATGATGAACTCGTCCTTGTTGTGCAAACGTTTTCAAAAACGAATTAAAAACGAAGAAGATACCATATGGCATGCAGTTGGTACCGAGATGCCTGAATTTTTTTCCTTAAAAAATATTGAAAATTGATCTCATTTTGTAGAGCACGATGAACTCGTTCCATCTGTGCAAAAAAAATTAAAATCCGAGTTAAAACGAAAAAGATATGAGTCAATTAAGAAAGCTAGTGAAAATAAAAATAACCTTTAATTCTCCATTCTTAGATCTGGATTTTCTAAATAAATGATCCAGATTTGATTATTGATGGGTGGTTATGCACCCTAACTTTAGCCGTCTTTGTCTACCATCCGCCACCGCAAAATTCATTTCACCCAAAACATATATGATTAAACTGACTTCCCACCAACTCTAGCTTGGGCTTTTCAGGATCTCGGTCCCTCTGGTTACCACGAATCATCATCGATCTAATTGATTCCCAAAGCGGATGAATAAGAGAAAACACTCTAGCGATCGATGAACCATGCATAATAGCCGCGCAGCTCAGAGCTTGGACGTACTGGCGGCGAGGTGCTTGCGGTCGACGAGAAAGAAGCGACCAGGGATGGCGACAGTGATGGAGGAGGGCTTTCTTTTGGATCCGGATGAATTAGGGCGGCATAGGAATTAGGAAGGGGGTACATGGATTCTGTTGTCCTGCCAGCTGGATGGAGTGATTGGGGAGACCAAACCAAACACAGGTATTTCCTGACATAAAAAAAAAAAAAATTCAAAGACCCTTTTTGGGACAATGACTTAAAAATGATGGTCTCTGATTTTTGTATTGTGGATTTGTGGTTTCATTGCATTGTTTCCAGCACTGTGTTCTATGGGGAGTACAAGACCTATGGGCCTGGAGCTGACAGATCCAACAGGGTGGAATGGTCCAAGAAGCTGTCAGCTGGGGAGGTTTCGCCTTTCTTGAGCAAGGAGATGATTGGTGGGAGATATTGGATTAGGGCTGCCCCAAAGTTCTTCAGGATTGGGTCCAAAATTGTTAAAGCTGGCAATGGTGGCAATCCCAGCTCCATGCCCTGAAAACAGTATCTAATGGGAATTTTGTGTTGTCAATGTACAGTTTATTTTTTCTTTTGTGTGGGGGAGGTAATTAGTAATTACCAGTACTGTATTGTGGTTAAAGTGATTGATTCATTAAATAGACCTCTCACTGAGATCAGGAAGAGGGCGGTAGCTCTATCTTCTTTCTCGTCTGCTTTCTTTTGGATCCGGATGAATTAGGGCCGCATAGGAATTAGGAAGGGGGTATTGGTTGCGGAGGAGGATGGAATGTGGAAAAGGAGGATGGATCAGAGAGGGCAAAGCAATTTGTTGTTGGTGGCAGCGGTGGTAGAGCTAAGGGGAATTAGGGTTTCTTTGACAAAGGGGACGGCAGTAGAGGTGGGAGATTTATGAGATTTTTTAATTAAAATAAAATTAACTAGTCTTTAATGAAAATGTGACTTGGAGTCTATGGTGTGTCTAGTTGTAGCTTATGTTTCAGCTAGAATGACATCAACATCAACATAACATTCGTTAATTTTTTATTTATCACCCAAGGAACCTCAACCCCATGTGTCGCATGAGCGACAGCGGGGCCTACTAAATCACTGTGGGTACCTGTATACTAACCGGGGCTTTCTGCTACCAACATCGGGGAGGCTTCGCCTTCGATACCAAGGGTGCCGTCGGGAACACTCAAGTGGCGCCACTGGGAATCAAACTCAGGACTTCCCACATCCAGAGCTCAATCGATCTAGTGGTTTCACCACTAGGCTATGTTACCTTTGGCAAAAAATGCGGCTATATTTGGTATTTGAAATTAGCTATGTTTGTCAAAAAAGTCAAAGTTATGACTATCCAGTGTATTTTTCCTTAACATTATTTAAAAGACTAAAAGAAATTGAAGAAAAAATTCAATATCACTTTCCCTAATTAATGGCTACTATATGTTAGTTGCACATGAGAGCGGATCAGGTCAATAACTTATGGTGAGTAACCATGTGTAACCCGTCCACATAAGCATATGATATAAGCATCTCTCTCTCATGGAAATTCTTTTATCTTTTCTTCTTTAATTTTTACCGGACGATTTCTCTCTCGTTTTAAGTTGAAATTAAAAAAAAAAATTTTGCACAGAAAAATCAGATTAATTGTGCTCTTTAAAATGATATCCATTTTGATATATTTTTAGAACAAAAAAATCGAGTCATTTTTACCAGTCAATACCATATGGTATGGTCCTATTTAATACCATATGATAAGAAAGCGTACCATGATGGTATAAATATAGCAATACTGTAGGAAGATTGAATACATGATAGTTTGAGTATACTAACTGTCATTTACGACTTTGGGTTATAGGTATAATATGCCCGACCTCTACTATGACGTTTTATCAAATATGTCACTCTACTATTTTTTACATCAAACATGCCCCTATACTTTGACCAAATTATCAAACATGCCCTTTTACTAAAATTTCTATTGAAAAAATCGTCAATCATGGTTGAACCGAGATTTAGATGACCCTACATCGGCAAATGGGAGGGAAAATATCAGTTTTGTCCCCCGTTTTATTTCGCTGGGTCTCTTCAAAGTGAAATCATTTGATTTATTTGGCTATACAAAAGAATTAAAAAAAATTCTAAAGTGAAATTATTAGGGATATTTTAGACATTTGTGTCACCTAAACTAAAGTTCGGCGTTGGGTAACGGTTTTGGGATGAAAATTTTAACAAAAGTGCATGTTTGATTATTTTTACAAAGTATAGGGGCATTTTTTATGTAAAAAATAGTAAAGGGTTATGTTTGATAAAACATCATAGTAGAGGGGCATATTATACCTATAACCCTATGACTTTCATCATTGTTTATCAAAAGTTACCACCCAAATACCATAGTGGTAAAGTATGATAATTTTTTGTCCTGTATTTTTTTCACCCATAAATTCGTAGATCCAATAGATCATGATGAACTCGTTCCTTCTGAGCAAACGTTTTAAAAAACGACTTAAAAATGAAGAAGTTCCCATATGGTGTGTATTTGGTAACGGGATGTATGAAACAAGTTACTCGAAATATATTGAAAATTGATATCATTTTGTAGAGCACAACGAACTCATTCCATCTGTGCAAAAAAAATTGAAATCCAAGTTAGAATGAAGAAGATAATTGCTTATTAAGAAAAATGGAAAAATAAAATGAATTTAATTCACAATTTTTAAATATGAATTTTCTGAATCCACTTAAATCTAAAAGTCCAGATTTATTTACTCCTAAATTTCAAAATCCAACTCCTAAAGAAACAAAGGAAGTCGGTTGTCAAATTGAACTCCTGCTTGGAACAGGGCCTGCTCTATTAGAATGGTCTGGCTTTTAATGATGAAGAGTGGCACAATTTGGGTGGCCTGGATGTGGAGCTACAGGGTCAAACAGGGTAGTGTTTGGACTATGAGTGTGAGTCCAAGTAGTTCGTGGGCATGGAGAAGGGTCCTCAAACTCAGACCACTGCTTCAGGCTCATTTGACAATGTCTGGTGATATTCCTAGTTGGGATGGTAAGTTGATGCCTGTATATAAAGTGTCCACTGTGTGGATTTCTTTGAGAACTGAATATCAAAGGGCGGAATGGGCAAAACTGGTATGGGGAAAAAGGCATCTACCTAACAACAGTTTGCTTGCGTGGCTTGTCTTATTGGATGGTATCATTACTAGGGACAAGCTATTAAGATGGGGCAAGACAATGGATGGTTCCTGTTTGCTTTGCAGGGGCTCAGTTGAAACTAGAGAGCATCTGTTCTTTCCGTGTGCTTATTCTATGCAGGTTATTTCATGCTGGAGAGGGGTCATTTGTTATGTAGACCAAGTTGGCAGGGAAGTGTGCAGGCTGCTGTTGCTCTGAACAAGAAGGGGACTTTGGCAGAGAGACTTGCAGGGATTTTCTGGTGTGCTTGCATTGCTTACCTATGGCGTGAGAGGTGCAGCAGACAGCACCAGCTGCCTCCCAGGGATGCTGCTGTTCTTGGTAGACTGATAGTTTCGGATTTAATGTATCTGGGTAGTGTGGATAGCGATTTACAGGCAGACTTAATTGCTGCTGTGTTTTTATAAGTTGAGTTGGGGGGGTTCTGTGTAGTCGGGTGGGAGTTCTTTGAGGGTTTGTTTTTCTGCAGGGTTACTCACATCGAGTGATCCTTTTCGTTGTATCAGACTCTATATGTACATTGCATATAGTTTTGGTAATACAATTGCAACTGATTCAACGAAGAAAAAAAAATTGAACTCCTGAAGGATTAGGGAAAAATATCACTCCTAAAGGATGTATGTTAATTTATGTCTCATCGAAACGATAATTACGAGATAGAAGCACCGATATATATACTGATAATAAAGGGAGTAGGATTTGGATTGCTTGGAATTTTTGCCTCTGTTATCAGAAGCCATGGGGCTGCAACTTCACTACCTAAATCCTAATTATTAGGACCATGGCGGCGAGCGACTCTGTTTTAGCGGGACAAGAAGAAGAATTACACGCTGAAAGTCATGATAATAATAGTAGTGGTAGTAGTAATTCGGATCTGATCAGTGCGCTGCCTGACGACATCCTAACTCCCATTCTGTCCCTCTTGAGCCTCAAGGAGGCAGCTAGCACGTCCACCCTGTCAAACCGGTGGAAAACTGTGTGGAAATCGGCCGCAACAGTTTTGGGCTTCGAGGGCGTGGACGAAACTCTGAAGAATGCTCCGCCTGAAAGGAGGTGGGAGAAGGGGAGGAGGCAAAGTTACGTCAACTGGGTGAGTGGGGTTGTGAGGCAGCTGCAGCAGCACAATGATAATGGCGCCTCCTCGAAAGTGAGCACGTTTCGGGTTTCTTTCGGGCTGGACAGCGAATGCAACTCCGACGGAGATATCGATCGGTGGCTGGAATTCGCAATTTCAAAGAGAGTCGAGTCACTGGAGCTGTGTCTGGGCCGGAATTGTACCACGATCGAGAAGTGTTACCCTTTCCCACAGCGTTGATTCGACCACATCAATACTCCGACTGGGTTGGCAGATATCAGGTCGCTAAGGTGCTTGCGTTTGAACGAGGTTGATGTCACTGACCAAGTGATCGAACATTTCGTCTCCAGTTGTCCCTTACTGGAGGAGCTGGATGTGCGTGCTTCAAGGTCGATACAGAAGCTTAGGGTTGTAGGCTCTTCAACATCACCGCTTCGATTGAAACGCTTAGCCCTAACCTGCTACTTCATAGAGTCGCTGGAGATTGATCACGTCCCTCAACTCACTCACTTGATGTATCGAGGCTGGGCCCCGGAATTACGTGTGGAGAATTGTGCACAGCTTGTGCATTTGGCATTCCCAGTTGAGACTTTCTGTGACATTGTTCATGTGATTAGTGCATGCCGTCATTTGCACAAGCTGACTATTGAGGTAAACCAACTCTTTTTCTTTTGCTTGACTTGAGTTTCAACTACTTCACCTTGTATGCTTCGGTGGTAATTATATTGTTTCCTTGGGAATATAATGATTTGATGCAGCTACAGCATACAAAGGATGACAACATGGTTTCGTACGACTTGCCATATTGATGAAGGAGCATGCCAGAGTATCAAGGTGGTAGAGATTAAAGGTTATGTTTGCCATCATGCAGATTACTTTTTTGTTGATTATGTGCTGGAGTGCTTCGTTGGATTGGAGACACTAGTGATTCAAGTCGCCAAGGATCTGTGCCCCAGAGCCAAAAATGATGCATTAGAGATCAAATCAAGAGCACCCCCTTCACTGGAATTTATTGTAATTTAGTTTTTTCACCTTTGCTGCTTGAAATGAGATAGGTTGAACTCCTAGTATCATTATTTTTAAATCTATTCGTGTCCTTTTTTCCATAAGTAATTGAGACTAAGTTCGAATCTAGATGATACCATTTCTTTCTCGCTCTGGATAGGGCAAGTGGCCCCAAACTGAATTTTTAATATAATGACTCGACCCGTATCCATGAGGGCCTTTATGTGTACTTTTACTCTTGGCTTCGAAATACTTTCTAGTCAATCAAGAGTGGAAAATTTTGAATGTTAACTAAATTAACTAAACAAGCCAAATAACAAAATATAACTAAAAGGAGGACCACAAGTCCACAAGAGAAGAGATATTGATTTAGAGTTGGTTCCCGCTAGCAATAGATCAAAATGTGATTGATGCAAATCAAAGCCCATCCACCATATCTTCTAAATTGTCAGAAATTCTTTATTATCCCTTGAACCAATGGTCATGCATCCAAAGATCCTTTTCATTTGGTTAAGAGGGTGGTCTCCTCCAATTAATTTCTGCGTATGAAACTCCACTTTCGACAACTACCGCCTTCTCAGAAACACAACGTATGCGAAAACGCAATTGTTGAAGAAATTCTCCAACGGCGAAGGGTCCAATCGAGATATAAAATATGAGGGCAGGGGAAGCTCAACAAGTAATTAGGGTAGGGTAATTTTGAGATCGGTTTCTTGATTCTTTCTTTCGAGAGATCGAAGGTCGCTTGATGTGAAAACAAGTAATAAATTCTTAGAGGTGTCTAGGGTCATATTCCTCAAGGTATTGCATTGCATAAATACTCACACTAACCATCAAAACTTGCACATAAATCAAAGAAAAACAAAGAAAGCAAGAAGCGCAAAATCGTTTTGGGGTTTTCAATTTATAGATGCATGAAAGTAAAGATACGACTATGAACTCGAATAAGAGCATGCAAACTAAGGCTAATTCATATCATGTATCGATAGTTCGTCTATTTTAATTGCATATCCCTTCCTCTAAGACCAATCTCTACCCTTCCATGTGCTTCTTGCAATAGAGATCTAACTATCTAATGCGTGCTCACTACAAGAAAACAAGAATTTTGTGTCGGTTTTTTTAGTCGGTTAAAATAACAGACACAAACATTATATTTTACGTACCAGAATTGTGTCTGAAAATTGCAATTTTTTTTAATATGAAATTAGTCTCTTTTTTTTTTGGAATGGTGCTAAACTCCCCGCCTGACCCAAAATTGACTGCGAGAGCCGAGACCCAATTTTCACTTCGTTCATTTGCAAGGGGGGGGGGGGGGGGGGGGGGGGGGGAACGGGTCAATGTTTCAATTTCCAGATTCCTCTTCTCTCTCTATTCTCTGAGTTCATCCCCCGACTTCTAGGGTTGGAAAAGGGATTTAATTCGAATCCTCTCCGGACGTCGCCTCTGCGTACATCATCTCCGGCCGTCGCCTCTGCGTAAATCCTCTCCGGACGTCGCCTTTGCGTACATCATCTCCGGCCAACGCCTCTGCATAAATCCTCTCCGGCCATCGCCTGCGCGTTTATCTTCTCCGGCGACGTGAAGCTCGTCCACTACCTCTACATCCCCACATCCATACTCCCGAAGTCGCCTTCCACCTCTTTTCTTCGCTTGTTCAATTAGTTTCGCCGACTCCACAAGAAGAAGATCAATTGTCGCCTCAACCCAATATTCATCCTTCAATCAGAGGTTAGTTCACTGTTTGTTTTCCCATTCTCTCCTTGGTCAGCTCCCATGTTCTCCTCCATTATTGGTCTTCTGCTCTCTTTCTTGAAAGGGGAAATAGGTTGTTGGTTTGGGTCTTTGGGATGTGATTGTGAATGAGCTTGTATGGGATTATTGTAGGCCCTGAGTTCCATGGTTCCTTTGATATTGGGAGGAGTAATACGTGTTTCTTCAGCCTCGAAATTTCCATTTCCGATTCACTCACGGTAAGAGACTGTTAGCTAAGATTTCATGTGAAATTGATTCGGACTCGGACATCCCACCCTCGACTGCTGCCATATCCTCATGCGGTAATTTATGTGTCCGTAATATGTATGGGATGGGACTAATAAGTCAAACATATGTGATTGTTTAACCCGATTACTTAGGTTAGGTGGATGTCCTATAACACAAATTCTTTCACCCTCCTTCATTTAGCATGATCTATATAGAGATGATTATGAGACTGAGACCATGGTTGAGCAATAAACCAACTTCTTAGCAGGAAGTGATGTATACTGGCAGCTGAAGGATGTATAATTAGAAGAAGAAGCTAGTAAATTTTAAGACCTATTCTCTGGACATAACCCCAAAACCTCAAAAAGAGAGACCAAGCACGCTTCTTTACCTTCTTTAATCTTCTTTATTGATAAACAAAGGAAGTAGGTGAGTGGGTTAGCTAGGTGACTCTCTAAAACACAATATTAAACTACGACCAAGTGTAATCTTAGAATGGAAATGCAGTATAATAGGTTCAGGTTCTAAATGTCAACCCGGGGTCTAGGTGTACTGTCTATTCAGTGAATTTCTATTATTGAGCGATTGAAATGTACTGAGGTGCACTACAGGAAAACAGCTTTCTAGTCACGGGATCTTATTCACCGGAATTTTTGCCGTACTAAAAAGTAGGCAAAATACAGTTCTATATCCACAACTATCAGGTTTGTGACAAATATATCCACAATTATCGAAATACACGAAATATCCAAAAATTGGAAGGTTGTGTGACAAATATATCCACTTTCGTCTTAATTGTATAGTTCTAATCACCGTAAATTAGTTTACATATTTTACGCTTTTCATTTTCTGTGATTAATTGTTAAACACGGTTAACCGTGAATAATGTGTAAATTTACCTTTGTAAATTTTAGGTGAAAATTAAGAAAGATTATAAGAAAAATGAATTTCATATCACAAAGTAATAAAAATTGTCTCCCTCATTATATTAAAAGGAGTTAGGGTGTACAATCAACAACATATACTAACTTAATATTGTTGATTGAGGGTAAGGCTAAGTGTATAGGATATATGCTATTGAGTAATTTATGATTGAAGTAACAATAATTTTACTAAATTTGATAGCTAATCTTTAATAGTTCAATTTTTAGGATAATTCGAACAATTTTACAAATAACTCGTTTGGCAACAGTTTACTGAAGTTATTTGGGCAATGAGTTATTTCGAAATAACTCCTTTTATCACTATGCTTTTGCCAAATACCACACACCAAATACCAGATTTGCATGGTTATACTAAACGAGATACTTTAATCCAATTACTATTGAATTAATACTAAAATATCAAAAGGTTGTCTTTTGGTTGCAAATATTGATATCACCATTACTATTAGCTATAATACTTTACCAATTATGATTAATTACATAACAAGTTTGCAAGTCATACAAATTGATTTAACATTTTGACTAATTTTTTTCAAAAAAAATAAAGTATATATATACGAGGTAGAAATAAATTGGTTAAAAAGTTGAGAAAATATTTTAAATTAGTGTAATAAAATGTGTAAGTTGGTAATGAGTAATGAGTTAAGTTACTTTATGCGCTGGCCCGAACAACCCGAAACCCGATCCGCCCGACCCAAAATCCGATGAACCCGCAACCCGATTTGCCCGCAACCCGATTGAACCCGAACCCGATGAACTCGCAACCCGTTTGAACCCAAACCCGATTGAACCCAGCCCGAACCCATCCGAACCCGCCCGATTGACACCTATAATAGTGCATGGTATAGTGTTAGCTGATGCAGTGAAGTTTCATATGGAAATTGCTCTAGTTTGCGGGCTTAGTAATTATTTGTTTCCCTTCACAGAGTTCTGCTTTAAAGTGATCACATGGTCAGGTCTGCATGATATCGAGATCTGTTGTTGTCTACCGAGCAGAGCTGCTACTACTGGATATGCTACTGTCGGAGATGCTGCTACTGCAAACCAACCGTTCATGGAGGTATGCAAAACCTATCTGTTACTGTCCCAAAATTGCAAGTATAAGGCGAGCGGTTTGTCCTTGTAGGTCAAGGAGCACTCTACCTGATTCTCTTTCCATCTCTCTCCTGGTTGTCTCAGTTTGTATCGGTTTCCCCTGCTACTCTTAGTTAGATGAAGTTGGTATCAGCCCAGGAGATTTCCCATGTTTTTTTTTTTGTCAATTGTCATAGGTTTATTCAATAACGATTGAGCATACTCCAATTTATTTTCCCTTGCAGTTTAGTCAGATGAATAGGCTACAACTCGTAAAGCTTTGCTCTCAAAAACTTTTCAAATTGTTTAGGTACTGCAACATATATTCTGGTATCTGCAGATTACACATGTTTCTTATGTTTTTTTGTCCGAGATTGCAGCTTCCCTCTTTTTCATACAATGTTTGTTCTAATTATGAAATTGGATATTGCAGCTATTCAACAATATCTTGTGGAAGAATAGTCTAATGATGGAGAAGAGACTCAAAGATTCACGAGTTTATGGATATTGAAGCTATTCAAGAGTATTTTGTGAAAGAACAGAATAAAGATTTGGATAACTTTGATGATTCGGTCAACTCATTGGATTTGTAGATGATTTTTATTATGTCGAACTTTCAGGTTACAATAGTTAGTCTTCTTACATATATGTTAATTAACGGCGATTAATAAATGGAATTTGCCCTAATTGTATTGACAATAATGTATAGTTTCATTTCATGCTATAAGATTGTCTTTTCAATTGTATGTCAATATACAAAATTTTATGTATAATTTAATATGACTAATTATCAATATCTAGACCCAGAGAACCAACCAAATACTGTGACTAATGTATGGCATCTAATCACTGGAAATGATTTTGTCATGGTAAATACGGTGTTGAAAGGTATACATTTCGTCTCTAAATGAGTTTTTTTGTCTGTTTTATGTGCAAGATTTGTTATTAGTTACGGGATTTCCCGTGACCTTAAGAATTAAACACGGAGGTATATATTACGGTAATTTTCCAGTGACTACAACTATTAAACACGGGAAACACACCTTCAAACACGGGATTTCCCGTGAATAAATGATCTTTTTCCTGTAGTGGTGTTCAAAAGCAAATTAAACAGAAAGCTGAAGATGTTCTGGTTTCAAATATGCAACAAGGTCATCCAGATATTAATCTTCCTAGCATGCAGCTAGCTCAGATTATATGTTCTCAATTCGTTTCAATTGATAGATACACTCCAGGAAATTCTTGACAATTTTGGAATCTCGACTAAAATAATCCAGACCCTCTCAATTCGAATACCCGGCGGGCGACTAACCTTCACCGGCGTAAACTAACCAAGGCAATAACACACTAAACTTACTCTACTGGTTTTAATTCCAGTACAGAATAATGAATCGACTTCTCGACTAAAGCAGTCGATCCACTACCTCCACTTAAGGTTTCTATATTAACCTCTACAGAGACTATCGTTCTAGGTTAAACCCGGAATCACACAAGTTTGATCATGACTCAAGCAATTTTGATTAATGCCTCAATTGATTATTTCGAATCACTCATTCACAAACTGGGTTCATACAACCATTCCTAAAATACAAGAGAGAGTTCTTCATACCCAGATGAAAAGGAAGTTTACTCCATGGAGAGAAGAGAAAAAATCAAGCTTGGAAGAGAAATCATCATGAGAGGAATGAAAATCTGCTCCAGGCTAAAATCTGCACTTCGAGGGTGAAAGATCGAGCTCCAATGTCCCTAGATCGCTCCAAAATGCTCCGAAGGTTGTTCTTTGTCACTTTCTCTCTCTAGGGTTCTTCCTCTCTCTTTAGAACTTGAAAAACCAGGATTATGAACCAACTGCAGCTTAGAAGACCCGATGCCGTGTTCCACGATCGTGGATTTGGAGTTCAGACTGTGGATTCGCAAAACGTTGGGCTGCGATTAGTGGCTCACAACCGGAATCCACTAGTTTCCACCTGAAATCCCCAGTCTTGGAATGGAGACACCAGACTGGGGATTTTCCCTGAGCAAAACACATGGTCCATTCGTGGAATCCACGGTCGTGGGATTGAGGCACTAGACTGTGGATTTTTCTAGTTTGGTCTCCGGTTCGCTTCTTCTCTCCAGTTGCACCCAGACTTGCTCCTCAGCCTCCATTCACGTGCTAGAACCTGAAACATCATCGAAAGGCACATGCTAGCGTTAAAATGGGCCAAAAAACAAACAAGAGCTAAGCCAAACGGTCAAGAATTATCGGCAAAAACATGTGTAAATACGGTTTTATCACTAGGTTAGCTGTGGTGCTGGGTAGGGGTGGAAATCGGTACGGTATCGGTATCCCAATACCAAATACCGAAATCCCGAATATCGTATTACACCCTAAAATCAATCCCAATTCCTAAATAATTTCGGTCTCCCAATCGCAATCCTTAAATAGTTCAGTATTCCAATCGGTACTTCGGTATCGGTATTATCAAATACGAAATTAATTACCTTTGTAACTAATAATTAAATATATAAATTAGATTTGATTGTTTAATTTAGGAAAAAAAGACTAGGCAAAGAGTCTTGAGTTTGCCTAGAGCTAGGATATGGACAAGGAGAATGGAGGAGAGGTGCATCTCAAATTCTTGTCATTGGTAATCTTTATTTGACGAATTGCAGGCCGAGAGACGACTAATACTAGTGTTTGCTTTTTGGTGTTATGAAAATAACAAGAGATTAATTGAGTGACAAGAGTGACTTAAACTGGAAAGTCAAAATTGAGTTGGATGGGTGCTTCTAAGTTGTGAAAGAGTGAGGAATGACAAAAACTTGTGTGCTATTTTTTATTAATTTTTAATTTTTTGGTATTTCTATGTATTTCGGTATATACCGATCCCAATCTCGTAATCCCGAATACCGAATAGGACTCCGAAATGAATTACAATCTCAATCCCTAAGAAATAAGCTAGTATTCGGTAATACCAAATAGTGATAAATTTGGTACAGTATTCGGTATATCCCTAATACCGGTACCAAACTTCCAGCCCTAGTGCTGGGGATTCAATTCATATATGCTAATTAACTCCAAGCAGTGGCAGGAAACCAAAGGAAGGAAGGAAAGAACCTACAGTAACCAAAGTCAAGACAATGGATATTAATGTGTAGCTCATAATTAATGTGTTCTTTCTATATATGCAAAAAAAGTTAAATTCAGAATTATAATGAATTTTGTAGGTTCCAATTAAGAAAAATAGAGAATAAGGAAAAGTACAGACTCTTTCCCGTAGATCCGTGTCATGTTAGAACTATCAGAAAAAACCCCATGGGTGGAATAATTACCAAACCACCCCTCTTTTTGGGAATTATTCTTGACTAATGGACGAGGAAAGGAATGGAGGGTGGATGATGTGATTTTGTAGTGATCTTGTAGATAGAGATTTTGTACCCTACCCTTCCCATAAAATACAAAGGACTTTCGAGAAAAATTGATCATCCTAAGCCAACCACAACCCAAGCTTCAAGAAACTACGCCATAAATTAATACTAGTTTGGTATCTGACCAATTGGTCGAAATGTCATTTGAATTTGACATATTTATGATATATACATCCTAAAGTTTTCATAATATTTAAAATGTGTATTTCTATCATGTAGCTAAATTAATTGTTAAAATTGAATTAAACAATAAAAATATAAAAATCGAAATATCAAACACTGAAAAAATACTTACGAAATTGTTAGTGGGCTAGTTAACCATAGTGGAAAAGTCATATGTTTTAAGTTTAAAAGGATACATCAATTTGTGTAAGTGTAAATGGTAATGTTCACTTCCTTATTTAAAGAGACCATGGTTCAAATTATAGAATTGTTATATTTTTTTTCTTATGAATAGGACAAATAACGGTAAAACCAAATCTATCATTTTTTTATGAATCAGCTAAAATTTTATATCATAAAAAAACTCCAACCTATTGGCAACACCATTCTGCCAACTGAGTTAGCAATCCGCTACCTACTTATAACATCTATAACAAAACAAACCTATACTCAAGAGTAAAGCTAATTCAAACAGACCAATACTCTGAAATATTAACATCATAAAAATTCATTGCAACATCCTTCTTAATCTGCTCTATTAGATCAGGGATACTTCTTCTGGTTCCTCCATGCCTCAGTACACACCTCACTCTCCAAATTGAGCGGATAATAGCTTGCCATGTCACTTTTGCAACCTGCTTTTGACTCTCTTTACCTTTAACCATGTGTTCTTTTAGGGTGTAAAAGGGGGTGAGGGAAAGAATAGGGAAGAAAGTAGGAGTTTCAATGTACTTTCTTCCGTTCTTGAAAAAATAACAGTGTGTAGGGAAAGAAAAATGGACAGACAATATACTGTGCAATCCACCCCTTCAATTTGGAGAGAAAATGGGGTGGGGCTATTTTTTTTTTAATTTTACAACATCCCTTTCCTCTCTCTCTCCTTCCTTTCTTCTTCGTTCTTCTTTCTTATCCCCCCATAAACCAGAAACCTTCCCATAAACTAGATACTTGATAGAATTTGCAAAATGAAAAAAAAACAATTAGAACCCCATTGAAAACAATTACAACGTAGCCCACCGTCACATTATTTTTTTTTGTTAATCAAATTTCCGAAAACAATGTCATTTTTTATTAATTCAATTTCCTAAAACGATCGTGAATTGATATTAAGTCGTTGTGGTTTTCAATTTTAGGTATGTGTGAACTATTGTAATTTTGGATTGATATTAAGTTATCGTGACTTGCAATGCATTGTAGGCGTACCAATTAATTGAGATTTTTAAAATTGATTAATTTTAGGACTTTGCTACAGTGACATGCATGTCACGGTGACATGCACTTTTCGGTCGACCTCATATAGCATCAGGTCGACCTAATCTGTTGTTTCAGTGTAAAAACAGTTTCATGGTGCCTACTTTAGAGATTCATATCTTACAATTGGCTAGATGGAAATTGGAGATTGAAGGCTTGTTTTGAAGATGAAGTGTCCCTCTACACATTAAAGTACTTGAGAGATCAATAGAAAGTCCAGAAGACCATTTTTGAACCTGACCAAAACTGGGAAACTGCCGGAAAATGGCCAAGTCTGGCAACGTGTTTGTCAAGCCTACTTTGGAGCTCAATTGGAGAAGCATGGATGCGAGTCAAGTCCAGGGGCCTCTACCACGTTAAATTACGTATTTTTTTATACAAAGGAAAGGCATTTGATGAAAGATTGAATATCTTTAAGGCTTCAAACAAAAGCCTCGAAGTTGCTACGAAGGCTGTTTTTCTGGCCGCTTGCATGTGCTCGAAGTCTGCCAGAAAAACAACATTCGTAGCAACTTCGACCCTTTTGTTTGAAGCCTTAAAGATATCCAATCTTTCATCCAATGCCTTGAATTTGTATAAAAACATACCTAATTTAATGTGGTAGAGGCTCCTGGACTCGACTTGCATTCATGCTTCTCGAATTGAGCTCCAAAATAGGCTTCACAAACACGTTTCCAGACTTAGCCATTTCCAGGCAGTTTCCCAGTTTTGGCATAGCCTTTTGATGAGGTTCAAAAATGGTCTTCTGAACTTCCTATCGAGCTCTCAATCACTTCAATATGTAGAGGGACACTCCAGCTTCAAAACAAGTCATTAGTCTTCAATTTCCATCTAGC